GTCCCTAATCCATGAACTATTGGAATTCATTTACAAAAATTTTCTTAAACATTACATGAATATATTGTCTCATACTATAGAATTAAAATTTATAATCCCTATTCCATGATGAGATACATTATAACTCAAAGATATCTTAATTAAAACTATCTTTTAGATAGGGTTTTTTTCCTCAAAAAGCATTTTATCAAAAACATCTGTTTTTGTTTGTTTGTATAATTGATTTTTATCCATCCTGATCAGGGATGAGGGGTTTGGGGTGTGGGTGGGAGCTCAGGGCTGGGGCAGAGGTTTGGGGTGCAGGGGGGAAGGCTCTGTCTGGGGGTGTGGGCTCTGGGGTGGGGCTAGGGATGAGGGGTTTGGAATGCAGTCTGCCCCGGGGCTGCGGTGGGAGAGAGGACCACCCCCCCAGCCCTCTCTCGCCACAGCAGCCTGGGGCTGGGGGAGAGCGTCTTTCCTTGGTGCAGAAACTCTGGGACTGGGGTCAGGGGAGAGGCACCTCTCCCTGCCATAGGAGCCCTGCGCACCTCAATTTGCTCCCTGCCCACCCCCTAGCTCTCTCCTCTCCAGGCCCCTGTGGCTGCGCCCCTGTGCGGCCCTTGATAGCCTGCTGCGCGGCCGTGCAGCTTAGAGGGAACTTAGGGCATAATGGCCTCCTTCAGGGGAAAGCCTTTGAGCAGCCATTCTTAGAAAGCTTAGCTTAAATAACTAAAAAACATAAAATTTAAGTAAACTCCAGGAATTAGGTAAATTTGGATCATATTCAGAATTTATAGTCTCTCTTTGGAAGAAAAAGGGAACTCCACCTTACCGTAAGATTATACTACACTTTATTCAGTATATTCTAAAAGTTTTAAGGATCATTATTCAGGTAACATTAAGTTTTAACTTGTCATTTAACTTAATTTATTTTATCTTAACAATTAAAATTGTTTAAAATGGATCCTTTCCACCAAACTCTAAAATCTAGAACCCTGCAAACCTGGAAGGTACTTCAATTAGCATAATATGAACTTGTGAGTCTGCTGTAAATGGATCCTAATGTATATAAAAGCTTTAGATCTGCTTTAAGATTCTCTTTCTCTCAAATGGGCTTTTCAGCTCTGTGTAAGCACTGTCTAATATGCCCCTCTGTCTTGGACCTCTGAGCAGATCCTTCCTGTACAGAAAGAATCTGGATTTTTTTCATAGAAACGCATGCCATACCTGTGAGGGTCTCACCTGCCCAACCAGGCTCAGTGCTACACTTCAAGTACCCATTAGCTGATGAGGTGAAAAATACATTTAGTAATATACTTTAAATTATCCTGTGTCTGAGATTGTACAGGAAACATAAATGTAAAGCTAAATATCTGCACTGTGTACCATATGTAATTATTTACAAGAAATGTTTTGTGCATTTCCTCTTGTTGCCCAATCTGCACTATTGCTGGCAAAATCATAGATTTGTACAACAAAGGTAACAAAGACTTGCCTATTCCAGAAAACCATATGATGACTAATTTCCACCTTTCTTCTCCTAATTTTTTTCTTTCTCTGCTCAAATCCACAGCAATTCTTGCTATATTAGGGTGGAAGACAGAATCTTCTGACATACTGTGTAATATCTGATGACTGGTGTCATCTAAAGATTTTTTTAAAGAGATTGATTGAAGACATCTCTAATACTTTCTTGTTACCTAATAGCGTTTGCACTTCATCTTTCAGCTCCATGAACAAGTTACCACTAGAGTGACTACTAACAAAAGTACTGTCTTGGCAAGCGTAATTGCTGCTTACAGAAGACTCTTCTCCCAACCTCCTAAAGGTAACTATAACTTAGCAGTAGTGAGTGAAATAATGAGGACCACTCTCATGTTTCATTTGGCCCTATTGTTCTCAGAAACAACAGGTTCCAGCATTAAATGGCCACTGATAGCAAGATGGAGCAATGCTGGGATCAGCAGACTGCACCTCCGGTTACAGATGAGTAACTGCAGTTTGCTCCATCTTACAGAATTTAAACTGGTCTTCAGGTTCCTGACAAGTTGCCAGTGCATCGCTCAGTTAAGCAAAATTTGCGTATCCCTGATTTATAACTTTGTGTATGGAGTAGAAAGCTCTGCTGAATTATTAATAAAATAGTGCTATAAATGCTTATTTTTCTACCAGCATGAGTTGGGATCTTTATACACAAAGATCTCTCGGATACATGGTATGTATCATCTAATTTAAACATTGATAGTGCAATTATTTAAATATGACATATATACATGAGTGGTGCTTGATAGATAGGAAGAGGGACATGTTCATGCTGTTGGTGAATCTTTGGCTAGCTTTTTCACTAGAAGCCTTAATCCTCCCCACCCAACCCCCTCAACCCCCATTTGGAGGGTTAGTATTGAAAAAAGGGTTGGTAGTTAAAAGGCAAGATTCTTGTCCGGCACTTTTTCTAGGTCTCTCTTTTTTCCAGTACCTTATTAAACACCCTTTCTTTCCGTGACTTGTAGGGCAATTAGACTTTGGCTCAATATTAATTTAATAAGAGCATAAAAACTACTTATTTTTCTTTTACAAGTAAATATCTTCAGTCTAAATAAACCAAATATTTTCTGCTGAACATTATAATGAGTTCTTGTGGAAAGAGCCACCACTGAGATGAAGCTAATAACTTATATGATACAGGGTGATAAGTGCATAATATTTATGCTTATTATATTTGAGTACCCCCATTAATCTTCATAAAAGTACCAATGGCTAGAAGTATATCAGGCACTTTTAATGTGTTCTCTTAATAGGATTTGAAAAGTATTTTCGTAATGGAAAGAAAACTAATGAATCCAAAGGATCAGCTGGAGAAACAAAAGGTACTAATGGGCTGTTCCCAATTCAGGCTTTGCTTTAGGATACTTATTAATTCTGTTACTATGTCACTGATATATTCATATTAGATGTTTGCAGAAACCGTGCTCCATGTTGGCTCTGAAATCTCAGACTGCATTAAAACCTTTTCAGTTTCATATGGCATATAGTCATTCATGGAGTCATTTTTTGCTTCCTCTTATGCCCCTCCCAGCCTGGTATTCTAGGATACATGTTCACTGCCCTTTTAATCGACATAATCATGTGATGGACATGTGTAGATCTCTGAGCCTTTCCCAGAGCAAGTTAAAACATCTGTTCCTTGTGCAGGAAGCAATCACAGAATCACTGTTCAGAGGGTGGGGCCCCAAGCACTAGCTGTGTGTAGGTTATTGCTTGAAGGAGAGGCTGGCAGTGTCAGTCCCATAGAGTCCTTTGCTCAGGTGTATGTGTAGGCCAGGAGATGGGGAAACTATTGGCCGTAGCAACCATTTGGTTGTCATAGTGATAGATGTATTAAGGGTCTGATTACAGGAAAATAGGCAGTAATCAGAGCCTGTTGTGAGGAGGGTAACCAGCAGTCACAAAGGCACAGTGCAGAGATAATGAACTCCTATCCCCGGATTCTTTTCCATTGTCTTACAACTAGGATGTCAAACCAGACTCCAGATTCTATTTTAAACATTTCCTGAACGTTGAAAGAAGTAAACAATGATCTATAGGCCTAGATATCCAGGGAAGTTTTAGTCATATGATGCTTAATGCTGGTCATGGGTACCAGATTGACAGCCCAGGAAAAGTCCTCCTTTTTTGGCAAAATGGGGACAGAGATAGTATAATCTTCCCCACATTGCCCAGTCAATACATCTCCATGTTCTGGAGGGACCAAATCTAGGGAATTGCGTATTCAATTCTTAGAAGCTCCCAAGAGTTGTGAAATACAAATAGGGGTGCTCTGCTTTGATCATGGTCATGTGCTGTGGCCATCTGTTGATTAAGGAGTGGATTACGCGACTCTTGTTTGGGGGTGGGGGGGTGGGGAGAGAGACAAAAAGAGAAAAATGTGATTCTTCAATAGATGATATTTTGTAATTGATTTCTGAGATGCTTTGCATTTGTAAACTATTGTGCATTTCGGGTTAGTTTTGTTCTTGAGAAAAGCTTTTATTTAATTATATTATAAACAGAAAATCCCTGTGTTAGTCTGAGATTTCTGTAGGACTTGAAAATGTTGTTAATGTGTCTCCCTCTTTGGTAGAAGCAAAGCAGACTAATGCCCAGCGACCTCCTGGGAGCAACAGTGGAGGAGGAGGAGGAGGAGGTGGAAAAAGAGGTGGCAAGAAAGAAGACACTGGATGGTGGTCCAGATTTCAGAAGGTCTTCACTCTAAAATACATTGTTTTGTGTCACTGGCTTACCTTGTATAAACACTGTGTGGTGAACCAATGAAAGAATATGATTGACTCTTTGGAAGAAGTGCTTAGTGTATTTATAATGAAGCTTTGAGTGTATATCGTTGGCTTTAAAAACTTCTTATTGTCAGGGGAGACTGGTTTTTTTTTTGTTTGTTTGTTTTTTTGAGGCACTACGTGGATCAACAGACCAAACTGATAATAGTTTTCATAAAGTTTGGTACATTTAATGAATGTAGGCAACACGAGTCATTTTGGCCATAGAAATACAGTTGACATAAACACAGCTTTTCTGGAGTTTTTTGACCCCATTAAACGTAACACCAAGGATTGCGATAATTAAGGGTAGAAATAATATTTTTCTTTTCAGTTTCTTTATTCTATCTGTTTGACAGCACTTTGTGTATAATCAGTTTTTCTCCTGTATAGCTTGATCAGTTTCCCCTTTTGTTTGTGTGGGTCTTGTACACAGTAGTGATGGAAAGAGAGGTTTTTAAAAAATGAGGGGGTGGGGTGCGGGAAGTGATTGTAAAACCACAAAAGTTGTCAGGAGGACTTGGGACAGGAATAAATATCTGAAAACTCTTTAATTGGCTTTCAAATTTACTGTGTCACCTTACTGTTTATAAAGTACTTTTAAGATCCTCTGATAAAAGGCATTGCTGTGGAATTGGCATAGCCTTGTCTTTTGAATATAAAAAGTATAATATTTTGGCAAACTTAATTCAGTTTAGCTTGATGCACTCCTTGTTTAACCCTGGGAACAAACAGAAAATGCCCGTGACATCCATTCTTCAACCTTGCACTCCCTGCACTAGAGAGACAAAAAAATTCTTTTGTTTTTTCTTCTTTCCATGTTCTAGGGTGACTTTCCATGGGATGACAAAGAGTTCCGGTATTATTTCGTGAGCAGTTGCATTCTCTGGGCTGCTGTTACATATGTGTCTTTCTTCAGGAGCTCTGGCAGAGAAATCTCTTGGAAGGATTTTGTCAATAATTACCTTTCTAAAGGAATGGTGAGTAGTAGGTATGGGGAATCATAAAATGAGAGATTGCTAGATTGGGCAACGGCATTAGCATGACTTCTGCACAAAAATACTCTGAAAGATACTAACAAAGGTAACTCATAAATAGGCTTGGCAGAATTTGATTCTTACTATTTTGTAAGTTTGACAATTGGTATCTATTTCTATTTTTAAGATTTTTGTTTTGTTTTACCTATTTTAACACTTGCAGTTACAGGAAGACTAGGGTTTGGGTTAGGGCAGTGCTGACAGTGGTGCTGCAGGAGGCTCCCTGCATGACTGAGACACCTACATAAGGTGTGAGGGAGGCTGAAGTCCTGGCCTGATGAGCAGAGACCCCTGGGCAGGACTGCAAGGAAAAAGATGTGACCCCGGCTGTAGGGAAGGCCACTCTGTTGCTGAACAGTTCCTGCCCAGGGACAGTTCCCACACTCCTGGCTAGTGGCTGAGGCCATGTCTAAACTACCAGCTAAATCAGCACTGCAATGCAGCAGTGTCAATTTAGCGGGTCTTGTGAAGACAAGCCAAATTGATGGGAGCACGCTCTCCCATCAATCTGTGTACTCCACCTCCCTGAGAAGCATAAGGGAAATCAGTGGGAGAGCCTTTCCTGTTAACACAGTGCAGTCTAGACAACGTGGTAACTGGATCTAGCTATGTCGACTTAATCACATAACTGAAGTACCGTAACTTTTTAGATCAATTTACCGCGGTAGCGCAACAATTTTCTGTGTTCCACAGTAGTGTAGACCAGCCCATAGTGAACAGAGACAACTGTTCGCTGAAGGTATAAAATTCAGGGAAGGCGGTTCGCTGCTCCAAGCCAATGGGGGCTGCGTGAAGCAGCACGGGCCAAGGGATGTGCTGGCCGCCCTTCCTGCAGCCCCCATTGGCCTGGGACAGCGAACCGCAGCCAGTGGGAGCCGCAATCGGCCGAACCTGCGGAAGCGGCAGGTAAACAAACTGGTCCGGCCCACCAGGGGCTTTCCCTGAACGAGCGGTGGACCAGCTTTGAGAACCACTGTTTTAAGGGAAATGATTGGAAGAGCATATATTGGGATTCAAGGCCAGGTATTACTTTAAATTCTAATTAATTTTTTTTAATTAACTGAATTTCAGCTTTGTGGTGTTTTTATCGTTCCTATTGCGATGTTAACATGGCTATGTTGTGTGTATGTTGTGTATTGGATAATTGTTTATACAGTTTAAATAGGTGACTTTATATGTTTTCTGTAATGTGGCAGAATTAAGATTATTGTAATTTAATTTTTGAGCTTCCAAACTTGTTTGGTTGAAACTTTCAACCTTACTGTTGTACTGATGTGCTTTGCTGTTTTTTGGATTTAATTTCATTTTGAGAGTGTGGGAGGAGAAACCTGCCTGATTATTTTGTGAGTTCCCACAAGTGTATACATGTTTGACACACAAGCAATTGTTTCAGTAATTCTGCAATAACATTATTTCTGTGTTCTTGCATGTGTACAGCTGAACACTTCATCATGTTTTGAGCCTGATTTTCAAACCTAGGTGCTCCAATAGGATGTCTTAACCTTGTATTCGGATACTCATATTAACATCTCATAGAAGTGTACGGGTGGAAGGAACCTCAAGAGGTCATCAAATCCAGCCCCTTTTATGAGGCAGGATGAAGTACCCCTACACCATCCCTGAAAGGTGTTTCTCTAACTTATTCTTAACCTCCAATGATGGGGATTCCACAACCTTTCTTGGAAGCCTATTCCAGTGCTTAACTATCCTTTAAGATAGGTTTTCTTAATATCTAACCTAAATCTCCCTTGCTGCAGATTACTTCTTGTCCTTTCTTCAGTGGACATGGAGAATAATCGATCACCATCCTTTTTAGAACATATTAACATATTTTGAAGACTGTTTTCTGGTGCCCCCTTAGTCTTCTGTTTTCAAGACTAAATCTGACCAGTTTTTCAACTTTTTCTCATAGGTATGTTGGTTGTTTTTTGTTTTTGTAGACCTTTTATCATTTTTGTTGCTCTCTTCTGGATTCTCTCCAGTTTGTCTATATCTTTCTTAAAGTGTGTCACCCAGAACTGGACACAGTATTCTGGCTGAGGCCTCACCAGTGCTGAGTAGAATGGTATTAGCTTTTTTTGCAACTGCATCACACTGTTGCCTGATATTCAATCTGTGATCCACAGTAACCCCCAGATCCTTTTCAGCAGTAGTGCTGCCTAGTCAGTTATTACCCATTTTGTAATTGTGCCTTTGATTTTTTTTTTTCCTTCCTAAGTGCCACTTTGCCACTTCCTTTATTGAATTTCATCTTGTTGATTTCAGACCAATTCTCTGATTTATCAAGGTCATTTTGAATTCTAATCCTGTCCTCCAAAGTGGTTGCGACGCCTCTCACCTTGATGTGATCCTCAGATTTTTATTCACAAACGCTCTCCATTCTATTGTCCAAGTACTTAACGAAATTACAGAATAGTATCAGACCCCTAGGGGATCCCACAAGGTGTGCCCCCCTCCCTCATCTCCAGCTTGACTGTGAACTGTTGATGACTACTCATTCAACCAGTTTTGCACCTACCTTAGGCCTGGGCTACACTAGCAGGGGGGTTCGAACTAAGATACGCAACTTCAGCTACGCTATTCGTGTAGCTCTTAGTTCAGCTTTCCTGGCTATCCTCACGGCGGTGAGTTGACTGCTGCAGCTCCCCTGTCAACTCTGCTTACTCCTCCTGCTGAGGTGGAGTACAGGCGTCAATTCAGGGATCGATTTATCGCGTCCAGACGAGATGCCATAAGTCGATCCCCAATACACTGAACACTGCCGGCGGGTAGTATAGACATACCCTTATATAATTTCATCTAGGCCTCTTCTGTGATTAAAAAGGCCTATTGGGTCACCTGGTCCTCCTTTCTAATACAGTAGTTTTTGCTGTTGATCATTTATTAAGACTTATGTAGCTGACTATCAAAATATGAGATTTGGGCACCCTGTTTAGATTATTATATTTGAAAATTGGGCTCTCGCTGTTTATTTGCATGTCCAGTCACTGAAGTAAATGCAATTAGATATGTGTATTCCCAACTAAATGCAAATAGGTTGCACACTAGAATGGTGCACTCATAGAACGTTTGTTTCATGGAGAGAAGTGTTTTCCTATTTCAAGTTTAATTTCATTATGTTAACACCATACATTCCTCAAAAGGATTAGGAATATGACAGATCTGAGGCTTTCAAACAAAGCTGTTTGAGTTATAGATTAGAGGTATGGCGGAGTACAACTTCTTAAATGTGAAGCTGCTTTCACTTGCATAAATCAGAAGCAGCTCAATAGATTTTTAACTCAAATAATTCAGCTTTTGGAATGAAAATGTTTGAAAAATGGCAAAATGTTGACATTTAAAGCTATGTCTACATTACAAATTAGTTCGGTATAATTTACATCTCTCAGGGGTTTTGAATAATCCATACCCCTGGGCAACGTAAGTTATACCAACCTAAGTGGCAAAGTAGACAGTGCTATGTTGGTGGGAGAGCTCTCTCGTGTTGGCTTAGAACACCTCTGGTGGAGATGTTACAGCGGCACAGCTATATTGGCACAGCTGTGCCGCTGTAAAGGATGTGGTATAGACATGGCCTAAGTGATTGAAAGTTATTTTTGATAGCATGGCCATCTCAGCCTTAACAGTAGCTTCTCAACTATAAAATAATCTCAATCTTAATTTTTCTGCTTCTATACATTAAAAGGAAGATATGGAATTGCACACTGTTACACCAGCAGTGAATCTGGGCTGCATTTTAATATGTTTTTGTAAAATGTAAAATTATCTGTAGTGCATTCTAAAAATGTTTATTCCTTTCTCTTGCAGGTGGACAGACTAGAAGTAGTGAACAAGCGCTTTGTTAGAGTGGTCTTTACTCCAGGAAAGTCTCCTATGGAGGGGGTAAATTTTAGTTTTGAATATGGATAAATGTATTGCAGAAGGCAGCAGAACTTTTCACTTCAAGTACAAAATTGTTGCTGCAGAAAACTAGGTCTATCTATTACCATTCTCCCCTATTTTAACTTCCATAAGGTTACCTTTAATGTTCTGACTATTTTGTTTTTTGTCTCTCCTGATTCTTTGCCTCTGCTTATCCATGCTCTACCCCTATAAATAGCTAAAACCAAGACACATTACAAAACTAATTTAAAAATTGTTTTGTAGTTGTTCTTTCCTTCCCGTGCCCACTGTCTTAGTCCACATGCGGAGTCTTCAGAAGTCTGTTTCAGCAGCTAACAGTTTCCTACTGTAAATTGTGCAGCATGTGGACTATCTAGTATTGAAAATCCTTTAGCAGTACATACATTTATCTATAAACTCACTTGATTGCCCCTTCCAAAAAAAATTGTATCTTGATTTTCCAATCTTCACTAGCTAAGTGAAAACTGAAGAGATGATCTGGATTTTGACTCTTCATTGCCTTAAGAAACATAGTTCTTAGCTTGGTAAAACACTTCCTGGTTCTCCTTGGGAACCATTTCCCTGTAACCTGGTGAGGATGAGAGTGTAAGTCTTGGCTAAAGTGCTCCAAAGAGTAAAGTACCCAAAGACAAGCCCTAAACTTTTTTTTTTTAAGTTAGTGCTAATAACTATCAGTATTCCCTGTAAACTACACACACTTGTGGCGGTGGCGCAACAATTTTCCATGTACCACTCATGTCACAAACTGCGCCGCTCACAACTTCTGGGGCAGGTGCTGCAGGGGCTGGACTAATGACTGAGGCCGGGTGGGGCTTTGTGGCTCATGGGGGCAGAGGCGAGAGTGGGACCTGGACGGGCTGAAGTGGCTGCAGCAGTGACTGGGATCGGTGAGGGAGCAAGTAGGATATGGGGTGATTGGGTGAGGGCCAAGAACAGCTACCTTTGCAAGAGAGATGCAAACTGCCGAGACCCCTTTCCAGCCTGGGACTGACTGGGCTGTTTCCACCACTACCACCATGAGACTCAGCTGCTCCCCTCAGTCCCAATGCAGAGCACCCACCCATCTCTTCCTCTTATCCCTGACTGTCCCCCACTCCCTATATGGAGCACCCACCCTGACTCCTCTTCCTATCCCTGACACCCTGACTTCCCCCACAGCCCCATTTCAATCTGCTCCTCATGTGCAACACCCACCCACACATGCCCCATTCCTCTGCTACCTCCACCCTGACATTCAATTCCCCATTCCCATACAGAGTAGCCACCCCAACACCCCGATAAGAAGACTTTAAAAACAAACAAACAAACAGAAGTAAGTTTGCCCAAAGACTAAAATCTAGTGCCCAGAGGAGTTTGTGGCCCATGCAGCAGAAAGCAAACTTAGAGGGAATGTTGATAACTATTGAAATATTTGGGCTTGGACGACAGCACTGATCATTTCAAACATGCTTAATGTTAAGCAAGCTGGATGACATTACCACTGGCCATATCCCTAAAACATCATTCCATCTTTTTAAGACATATGGTTGTCACTTCTATTTTTAGACTGTACCCAAGGCGCTTCTTTTCCAGACTATTAGCTTTTGCTGAACCAATGTCTGGAAGTCCCTCCAGGGTAAAATGAAAGATGCAATAGTTATTTCATCAGTGAAGCTAATATGATTTACTGCTCAGATTTGTTTGTACACTTACTCTTTAACCTATAAACCATGATTGGCCGTGGTTTCTCAACTGGATAATGGTTAGGGTTACAATTTTATGCAATAGCAGGTTTTCAGGGCTAGTCATGGTGAAAAAGAGAAATCATAGAAACATGTTCCTTTAAAATAAAACTCTCAGCATTGTTTCAAACCTGAGTGTGGTGTTTTTAACAAGAACAGTGCACTAACTGTTAAGAATTGTGATAAAAGTGAATAGTTGAGGTGCCATAGCAAGCCAAATTTTGTAATTTAGTTTCACAAAATGTATGTAGAAAATGTTTTCTTTTCAAACTTGAGCGTGAGGAGCCTCCTTTCCTCTTCAGGAGAAATAGTGGCCATTGTATATTTGTGGCCATTGTATATGACCCCATTGTATATTTGCTGGGCTCTTGCTCTCCCTCTGCCTCATAGGCAGCCCTAGATTTCCCTTTGAAGATTTTAATGTCTGTTCTATTGGGCTCGTTGAATTCACCCTCTTTTTAAAAAGTAAAAGTCAGAATTTAAGCCCATTTAAAGTGCATGAAAATCCTGGCATATATGACTTCTGTGATTGCAATGACCAAAGTCAAGCCTAAGTGTAATGGTCCTCCAGTAACAATTTGGGTGATATGAGTTTCCATAAATGTACCTACGAAATCTAAACTCATTCTATTCTGCAGTAAATATAAATTATAGTTTTGTAAACTAAAGTAAATATTTCAGTTGTGAAACAGTGAATCAGTCCTTTAGTCTGAGATTAGGCCACTGATTTTTGTCTGTGTCTTATCTTTAGATGGATTTGTGATGAGGCTGAAACAAATTATTCATCTTGTGGTGATCATAATTTTGGGTTTTTTTATAGCAATATGTCTGGTTTAATATTGGTAGTGTGGACGCTTTTGAGCGGAATCTGGAAACTGCACAGCTAGAGTTTGGAATAGAAGGGGAGAACAGATTACCTGTAGTCTACTCAGCAGAAAGTGATGGGTAAGAAGCTGTTTAAACTAGATATGTTGATAAACTTTTTCTTTCCCAGTGGAATAATGGGGTTGTCCTGTATGCATATCATGGCACACTAGATGGCAGTATTATGGAACTCTCACTCTGCTTTGACCTTTGGTTGTGTTCAATATGCTGAACATATGACAATTAATTACATGAGATGAAGATTTTGAATAAAGTTAAGTAAGCTTTCCAAGGTTAGCTTCTCATATAATATGTATCTTTTCTGTGCATCCTCAGCTGACCCTGCTTATCCCCTTAAATAGGCAAACTTAATTTATATTTGCAGCACCTGTGTTACCCAAATAGAGTAGTGGCTCCAAAACAGAAATTACATACTTTGCATTTATCTTCTGTGGCTTCATTTTTCTGAGCTGTCTTTAGCACAGATCACAACTGCCTCTCAAGGGTGTGTGTCCTGGGCTCTGAATGGCTCAGGTGTATGGGGAAATAGGGATTTTTACCTCAAATTTGGTTTCATTCTGGTCCAGGTGAGCAGTTATAGAAAGAATGACTGCTGTTGAGCTATGGAAAATTAGGTTGGCCTGTCAGGAATTACATCTCCTGGGGTATGCTACTCCCAGGGGCTTCTTGACTCCTTGAGGAGAAATAAACCGGTTCTGTCCTCTTGAGAAGCTGTAGGTAGCAGATGGGTCACTGCTGCCAGGCACTTGGCTGCTGCCTCTCCATATATGCATGTTCTTTCAATGTCTGTTTGTCACTGTTGCCACTGTCTGGGTATGCATATTTTTTTTTCTTCCTCTGTACAAGGTAGTGATACACTGTGGTGTTCCTTGTTTTCTCTATGGCAACAGGAAAGATGGTCCAGTGTTTAGCCTGGACTCCAGAGCCCTGGGTTCAATTCGCTGATTCTCCACAGGCTGCCTGTGAGACTTTGAGCCAAGTCACTTAAGCCTTGTCTTCATTGCTAAAATGGTGTCAGTTTTTTTTTTTTTTTTTTTACCTTGGTAACTAGTGCATGAGCTATTCTCAGGTAAAAATTCAGTGAGGACAAGACACTTTTATTTTACCACAAGGTCAGCACTATACCCCTGCCTGAGGTTGACCTCACCTAATTAATCTCACAGTAAAACTCAGTGCTTGTCTTCACTGTGTTTTCAGTGGGGATTGTTCACGACGTATAAGTTACCCTGAGGTTAAAAAATACACTTTTCTTAGTAGTTAAGACAAGGCTTTGTGTCTTTGTGCTTCAGTCCTCATTAGTGAAATGGAAATAATAGTACTTCACAGGGATATTGTAAAGATAAATGCATTAAAGATTGTTAGGCTACTGTGGAAATGGGGATGTCTAAGTACCGGAGGTAACTAGCTTGCAGAGAGCTGTGCTAGGACAGAATGAACAATAATGGTGGAAGGGGTGTGTCAGACTATGGGGAGCGTGGGTATGGGGAAGGGCTATACTGGGACTGAATGAGGAAGGAAGAAAGGAGTAGACAGTGAAATAACAGCAAGAGCAAAAAGCAGTGTTAGAGAAAATGGCGGTGCAGGGGGGCGGGTTAAGGGAAAAATGATGCCTGCAAGAGGAATTCCAGCATGAAAGTTAGGAGCTGTTGATCATAACTGACAGCCTCATTAGCAGAGAAAGTTTTAATGGGCATGGACACTGAGCTGCTTCTCTCTTTTAGGTGGTCTTCTGATAAAATATTGAGGCATACTGTCATTTCCCATTGTGTTTGTTACAAGGATAAGTAGATGACTTCAGTTTCCAGGTCTATCACTTGTCACTAATCAGATGCATAGGAGTATTTCACTGTTTAAATGCTGTTTGACAGTTGTGTGTGTTTTGTTTGTTTGTTTGTTTTTTGTTTTGTTTTTTAAGGGCTTTAATTCAAATACATTTCAATCCACATCTTTAAATGTTGATTCTTTGCGATCATGATCACAAAAAAGGAGGCTCTGTAGAATCTGTTTATGGTTTCTCTAGTTTAGTATCTGATCCCATATTTCCCCTTAACCCTGTTATGCATTGTATGCATTGCCTGTAACTTAGTCTACAGATTACTAGAACATAAACTCTGAATAACCTCCAAGATCTATAATGGAAATTAACTTTTGTATGCATTGTAATATACAGTAGAGACTCTTTACTAATGTGTGATTATTTTTTCCTTTCTCTCCTCAGCTCGTTTCTTCTGAGCATGCTGCCCACAGTCCTTATAATTGGCTTCTTACTGTACACAATAAGACGAGGGCCCGCTGGCATGGGTCGAACAGGGCGAGGAATGGGTGGACTCTTCAGCGTAGGTGAAACCACAGCCAAGGTCCTAAAGGATGAAGTAGATGTAAAGTTCAAAGATGTAGCTGGCTGTGAAGAGGCCAAATTAGAAATAATGGAGTTTGTTAACTTTCTGAAAAACCCAAAGCAATATCAGGATTTAGGAGCAAAAATCCCTAAGGTAAGGGAACAATAGCTCAGAAGATGAGGAAGATGCAACACTTATTTTAAACAGCACTTTGTGAATTTTTTTTCCTCTCCTCATTTAAAATTATTTCAACTACAAAACTATTCTCTAGGTACTTTGAATCAGAGTAGTAACCTTTAAAGTAGATGGTGCTTTCCAATTCCTGTCTTCTGACAAAGAATCTGAAGAAAAGCCAGTATTAAGAGCCAACAGTGTGCATTGCTATAAGGCTGTCCCTGTCCTGAGGGGCATACTCTAATTTCATGTTGGCCAAAGCTAGAGAACAAGAGGGAGAATTTACGGACTATAATCCATTGTTGTAAAGCTGCCTGTCTTTTCACCCAGACCCAATCTTACACCTGGCATATTTAAGTTAATATTTTTCAAAATTTTGGCCAAAATGCTTTGAATTTACTACTTGCACTAAATCTATTTTCAAAATCAGGCATCATATTGTCATTAGTTTTAATCTCTCATATGCTGGTTTAACACCAGTATAATTCCAGTGAGTTTAAGTGAGATCGGAATCAGGCGTACAGCCTCCTAAACTTAATTCTTCATCCTATTCCAGACATCTTGAATTGGACTGATTAATTATCATAACATTAACTGGAGAAGATGTTCTGATAGAAATGTTATAACAAATATACTTTCTTTGAAAAAAGCTAATTATGCTCCTTTTTGCAGGGGGCCATTCTGACGGGTCCTCCAGGCACTGGGAAAACACTTCTCGCTAAAGCTACAGCAGGAGAAGCTAATGTTCCTTTCATTACAGTCAATGGCTCTGAGTTCTTAGAGATGTTTGTCGGCGTGGGTCCAGCTAGAGTAAGTCTTTGGCCTTGCTCTGTTGTTGCAGCGTCAGTTGTTAAAAAGACGCTGTCAAGGTTGGTAGGCCAAAAGTTTGATATACCTTAAGTTAGTCATCTGTTCAATATCCTACTAATAACTTCAGGTGTTTCTCTTTAAATGATAGCCACAACGTTTTTTTTGTTTGTTTTTTTGTTTTTAAAGAAAGATAAAACAGCGCAGTTATTCTCCAGTTGCAGGCCACCCTGTGCTTGTTACTCTTTACCTTTGCTGTGTTTGCATAAATTGGTACTAAATAAACTCTCATAATTCTGTTCTGATGTGCATATAAATTGCGACTGCAGCCGTGGCAATGTCTCCTCCCTCTCTAAATTTTTGTCAGCATTTCTCTGAGACTTTGGGCCCTTTTTAAGTGTCTGTTTGTTCAGAAACTTGTCTGGGTCATAAAAATTTTGCTTCTAGCTGAAAAATGAGCCAGAAAGACTTAGTCCAAAAGTTGTGTATTAAACTTGTTTGGCTGTTTTAACGGAAGGTTAAAAAGTAACATTACAGTTTCAGATGCTGTTTTGCATACATCCATAACTAATCAATGAATTGGGATTAAAAATTAAATGTATAGCTCATCATTAGACAATGTCCAACCCTGAGATTCGAGCAGTTTCAATAGAGCTTTCAGACATAACTGCAACATAACAGCTTGTTCATCCCTAACATGATTTTGCAGCTGTCTTACTGATAGAAGTGCTGCTTGTATTGAGGTTTTTTGGGTGAGGTGGATACCTGGTCACTAGAACTGTATTAAGACCATTAACTTAACATAGACCAATAGCTTTGACCTATACATGCTTATGTTCTTGTATCAATAGATTTTAAAAAATATTACCAGCTCCACCTATATTAAGGTTGCTCAACACTTCCCATTATAAGCAACTGAGAATAGGGTCTTATAACTTTGTCAAGCTCTAATTATTTAGGCTGAAATTTTTCATGCTGGGTGTCTGCGTTGGCTGAATTCTTACGGAAAACTTCAGCCAAAACAGTTCAGCCATTTCTGATTTCAAGACTAGGGAAGAATACATAGTTTTGCCCATGTGAAAAATTTCTCCTGATTCTTCGGGGGGGGGGGAGAGGGGGAGGGAGAATGCCTAGCATCCTCCCATTCTTTGGAGCAGAGATGTGGAATTTGGCAGAGTGAGATGGCCTATGAGTCTGGGATGTGCCTTTTGTGAAGTCCCTGTGAAAAATGCACCCAAATTTGGACAAGATATATAAGCCTTCCAAAAAAAAAAAGCAGTTCAGTTCAGTAGAGACTTAATAGCTAAATTCTCTGAAGATCTAATACACATTGAGCATGCTTAAGCCTCTCTCAGCTGCTAGTGCTGAGAGACTTGCAGATGTGCCATCCACACAGAATGAGAATACTCTGTCCCCCCACACACTCCAGTCACAGGCAGAAGATGTATGTACTATTCCCCACAGAGTGAAGTATGTTCCAGCCCAGAACTCTGGGGGCTCAGAAGGACTTTCCCTGTAATGGCTGCTCCAGGCTTGGCACTAAAACTCTGAGCAGGGAGCCTGTTTCTCTATCTTCTCAGTTACACCCCTGAGCCCTGCTAACATCTGGGCAACATGGAGAGGAAAGCTGCCTGATTCAACGCAGAGGGCACAAAATCAGGACTGGAAGAGGGAAAGGAGTAGATTGGGGTGAGGGGACTGAGTTGGAATGGTAGACTGGGACTGGTTGAGCAAGGGGACTGGGATGAGGGGGCACGTGCTGAGGGATTCTGGTACTGGAAGCCATTAAAGGAAGGAAGTGTGAAGGAGACTGAGAGCCAGTTGGTTTGGCAGGGGATGATGACACTGATACAGAATCTGGAGTTGGGGAGACATTGGGACTGGCTGGACATGGGAACTAGGATCCAGGGAGGAGAATGGGGGTAGGGCAGAGGAGACACAAATCAGACAAGGAGCTAGGATGGGGTAGGGAAAATTTGGACAGCTGTGCTTAGAGACTGGGACAAAGTGGGGGAAAGATGGAAAGAAGCAGATTGTACGATGAGCCTGCTGAGGGAGAGTGGGACTGGGAGCTAGTGCTGGGGGTCCAGACACTGGCTGGATGAGGAGACAGTAGGAGGGAACTAGGACTGACAGAGCAAAGACACTGGCTACAGGAAGGTGGGGGTGGGGAGGTGGATGAAAACAGCATCTGGTTGGACAAGGGTAATGGGACTAGGACAAGGAGCCAGAAGTGAGGAAGACACAGGACTGAGACAAGGAGAGTTTGGAGGGGACGGAGCAAGAGGGATGAAGATTGGGGGAATGGGCAGAAGTCTATTCCTGCTAGAGAGCACTCCCCTCCGGAACCTGGAATGGAACCTATGATTCCAGAGTCTCACCATTCTTCTCATCAGAAAATATTAAGTGAAACCCACTGACAAATGGTTTCATCCTCCTCTAGTGCTGGTTCATATAAAGGATGACAATTTACCACTGCTAACAGTTATTGTTGGCTCAAGTGGCAGAGGTCTGTGCTGTGCACCTAAAGGTACCAACCCTGCTGAAGATCCATGTGAGTGCCAGTATGAGGCCAGATGATGGAATTTTTCTGATTTTTCAGTTTGTTTTTTTTAAATCCTACAAAATTATGGATTAAAAAAGAAAATTTTTAAAAACTTTATTAAGGTTGCTACATCAAGCACTCTAAAGAAACACCAGAGTTAAGGTTACCTGTGTAGTCTTAATTCAGCCCCCATGCATTACAATATAATCTTTAATTACATGATCACATGTTATTTTTTTCCCACAGGATGTCTGCCTTATTTGTTTCACTGTGTGGAAGGTGCTTGATTAATGAGTAGCTGTTCAGTATATTATTTTATCCTGGTTGTTTTATCTGGCCCCAGGCCTTATTTACTGTACACTATTTAAACCCTGTTTTGAATACAGAATTTAATTTCCTTATCAATTTTTCTATGGTGCTCCTACCAATGGCATCAACATTAATTAATCTTCACAAAACCCCTGCGAGGAGAGGGAATGGTATTATCCCCGTTTTCTAGATAAGGAGTTGAGGCACAGAGTTAGTCAAGTTTCTAATAATCTGGGGTGCCAAATTTGAGACAACTAGAACCTAAGTTTTCAGTCTTCAGCAGTATATAACATTTATATATTCAAGTACAGTTCCTGTTGATCTCCGTTTCAACACTTCTGCAAATCAGGTCCCAGGATCTCAAGTTGGGCACCTAGAGAATGAGGAACAATTAATTAGTGATCACCTGTGGAAAAGTTTGGTTTAAATGATTTTCTTAGCATCACACAGGAACTCTGGCAGAGGCAGAGATAGAATCAGTTTTCCGGAGCACGATGAGTCCATCCTTTCTGCATTGCCCTGCCTTACTCATTATAAATCTGTCAACTTCAACAAATGAGGTGGAGGTCCTGCAGACAAGACTCCTTTATAAAAACAACCCTGATTCATCACCAGAACAGGTCCATCCTGTTCACTGGAAGGGGGAAAAAAAAAGTGATCACGTAATTTAAAACCATATCATAATACATATGCACAAGGGCACTCAACTTTCATTCTGGCACTTCCTAACTTTTGAGTGCTTAACTTTGCAACCATAATGTTAACATAGTTTTGTGTATAACAAACAATTGTTTTGTCCAAAACTCATTTCTCATTGCACCACCTTTTGCCTTTTTGGGATATGTCTTTATTTTACAGCTTTAGTAACCTGAGTAATAAAGCTGTGAAGCTGGACTATATTGGCAAATAGTTCTCCATAGACCCTTGTACAAGCTTTCTCTTGGATTGGTTTATTCTCATGCCTTCTCCTCTTCTGTTCTTCCCTGTTAGTGCCCTTTGTTCTTTTTTTTTTTTTTTTTTTTCTCTTGCTGACTTGGCTCTAATGAGACCTTCATGGTCTGATTACTAGGGTGAGACAGCAGAATACCTCCGTAGGGCCACACCACATCCAAATGCCTGACATTCTGTCTCATTGGCTACAACCTTTACAATTGGATATGATAGTTAATACCTTTGCTCAATTAAACCATAATTTCAAGTATAGCCTGCATACAGGTTTTCCAAAAGAGAAACCTACTGAAAGGTAGAGGTAGGAATAAGGTATTTGCGAGTGAGGGAACCCAGAAAAAGATAGACATTCAAAATTTCATATCCCATCTCTTCTTAAATGACCTATAACTTGAACCAATTATTTTCAACCTTTGGAGAAAAATTTTCCTGTGGCTTCACATTATATTTGTTAACTTCTAGGCCAATTCCTAGCCAATGTAATGGGGATAGAATGGGACTAAAATATAGGTATTATAATTTAACATGGCTACAGGTTAAGTATGATCATGGCCCTAATGTCTCTCTTGAACACATTGATGTCTTGTACCTGCAGATGATAAACTAAAGCTGACTAAGAACAGATCACAAAGTAGACCTAAATACATTTAGTTCCAGTGATTGATTTTATTTATTCATTTGGATTGTGAAAACTTTTTTTTTTTTATATTACAAAAACTCATTCCATATTTAACTTGCCTGCAGTGGAGAAATACTACACCACATACCTCTTAAACTTCACTTTGGTCAAGAAAATGACAGTTGAAAAGTCAGTCACATTTTATAGTAGAACTATGTAAAATTGGTGTCACTTTTCTCGACATATCTATTTTGTGGTTATTCAGAGTACTATCTGTTTACTTGAGTGGGGAAAAAAAGAATTGTTAGGGGTTTTTTACTGCTTTTTGCTCCTCTCAGACCTATAAAGTTGCCACAGCTATCATTGACCTGGAGTCTATTCTCTTCTTTATTATGATACAGTTGGGACACTTGTACAAACCCGGTGAAGGCAATGGGCATGTAAATGTATCACTAGTGACATAACTTGTCTTACAGAACCTTTATTACTAGTGATCGTGTATTGAGAGATTCCAGTCTGAGTTTGTAGGACTGAACTTTAGAAAAATGTCTTTATCCTGCAGTGAGTTGCATGGGTTGGACTGTCGTCAAACTTGTAAACCAAACCTATTTTGATTTGTAAGCCATTGAGAGATTAATTGGGACCCACAATGCAATTGTTAGTTACTGTTCAGGATAGAACAGCACTTTAATCATGCAAGTACAACACTCAGTGGTTGTTTTTCTTTTTACACCTCTACCCTGATATAACGCGACCCGATATAACACGAATTCGGATATAACGCGGTAAAGCAGTGCTCGGGGGGGGGGGGGACTGCGCACTCCGGCGGATCAAAGCAAGTTCAATATAACACAGTTTCACCTATAACACAGTAAGATTTTTTTGACTCCCGAGAACAGCATTATATCTGGGTAGAGGTGTATTTAAAAATGTAACTCTCTGGTCTGGTATGCTTTCCTAAAACAATCTCTGCAACCCAAGAATGTATGAAAGACAGGCTTATCTTGCATTACTGCCTTTCAGTGTTGCAGTATTGTGGCTTCATTGTAGTCTTCCATTCCTTGCCATTTGGGCTAGAGGATCTTGTTTTGAACATTTAACAGTGAGTTTAGCTGGAATCTTAAAAGCCAGTGATGTGATACTGTGATGTGACACTGATCTTGGGTCTATTTGTGACTAGATGATTGAAAATAACTGAGGTATTGCCTTCTCTTTTTAAGGTCCGTGATTTATTTGCTCTGGCCCGTAAAAACGCCCCTTGCATTCTCTTCATTGATGAAATAGACGCAGTAGGAAGGAAGAGAGGACGGGGAAACTTTGGAGGGCAAAGTGAACAAGAAAACACACTCAACCAACTTCTAGTAGAAATGGATGGTAACTATTTAGTTCTAATACTGGGTTATAAGAGTAAGACACAGATGTATCTTGATTAATTTGTAATGGAATGAGATAAATATAATGGTCATGGACAAAAATATACATGTTTTTTATAGATGTGGGTGCAGAAGGAAGAGAAAATGGAAATAATACATTAGCTGTTCACATCTATAAATCTTAGCTAAAATCCTGGTCAACTATAAGTAAAATGAATATAATGTGCCTTTCCCCATTTATTTAAATTAAAGAGAGAGCACTCGATTTGCACACATTGAGATCTTCACTTAAAAGTGTTCAGGAAATAGCAGAGCAGAGATTCTGCCCTTGAGGTTTGTTTCTTTGGCAGATTTGTGTGGAAAAGTCTTTGCTCAAGACTAGTCCATCTCTAGTCAATGTTACTAATCCCAGAATTTCATTAGCATTATATTCACTGTCAAATATGTAGAATAAACTAGATCTTAATACAGTGATTTACTCAAGGCCCCCCCTTTTTTTTAACAAGTTGTGAGAATCCAGACATTTTCTGCCACATATACTAATGAGTTTCTAAGGTATTTGCAGTATCACTACCTTAGAGCTTGTGTGGATTACTGTATAGTGAAGTGGTTCTCAAACTTTAGCAACCTGAGAACCCCCATTTTGATTTAAATTTTTTTGCAGGCCCCCCCCCCCCCCCAAGCCAGCTTCAAATTTTCCCCAGGAGTGCTCAAGCCCTGCTCAGCCCCAGGCCTCGCCCCCATTCCACCCCTTCTCCCAAGGCCCTACCCTGCCCCACCTCTGCCCACCCCACCCTTGTCCTTCCTCTTCCCCACCTCTTTCCGCCCCATCCCCAAGTACATCCCGTCCCTGCTCCTCCCCCTCCCTTCCAGCACCTCCTGCTCGCCGCTGAACAGCTGTTCTGCAGCATACAGGAGGCACTGGGAGAGAGGGGGAGGAGTTGATCATGAGTGGTCCCAGACATGACTCATGGACCCCCAGGGGTCTGCGGACCCCAGTTTGAGAACCGCTGGTATTGTGGTTAGGTTTAAAAAGTGTTTCTTTCTAATGCACTGTCTCTTTCGCTTACAGAGATGCAGTAGTTCTGTAAAGTGGGCAGTCTAAACTACTTTCTGCTACACCATATGATTTTTTTTTTAAATTAATGAATGGTGATCGTGTGGTTTTAAATATTGTTTACCCACTTCATGGTTCTTTTTGTTTTGTTTTTTGGACAGGATTTAACACTACCACAAATGTAGTCATTTTGGCAGGCACCAATAGACCAGATATCTTAGATCCTGCACTAATGAGGCCAGGGCGCTTTGATAGACAGATCTACATTGGTAAGATTATCTATATCTTAGCCTATATGAGTGTGTTCCTACAATCACTTGGGCACATAAGTATTCCCACAAATCATCAGAACTATTCCCATGCCTAAGTGTTTGCTTTTTAAATAGGAAGACATGTTTATTATGTATTAAATAAAAAAAATTCTTTTTAAACCCTTAAAGGACCTCCAGATATAAAGGGAAGAGCATCTATTTTCAAAGTTCACCTTAGGCCCCTGAAACTAGAAAGCATCATAGATAAAGATAACCTGGCAAGAAAACTTGCATCACTAACTCCCGGGTTTTCAGGTAAGTGAATTATAAAGCCATACTTGCTCTAAATACACTCATTACATCAGCTGTACCAGCTATCGGGACTGCAGATACTATTTTCTTTCCTTCCCCACCCTCCTACAGCTTTACTTTTCTGAATGGCTAATAATTTTTAGATACAGTATGACATTCTCCCTCTGTTCCATCATTGTGACAGATCCTCCTCCCTCCACCAAAAAAGTCACCTAATTCTCACTACTACTGAAACTGTTTTGTTTTTTTTTTTTTTTTAATTAATACATTCTTTTGGATGTTCTTTTTCTGACTCTAAATGTTACTGGGGGGGAAAAAACCCATACATATAATATATTTTATTTTCTACCCCAGCAGAAAGTTTAGTTTATAATCAAATGTCATGATTTTTTTCTCAGATATTGAGACATGTTTTCTAGAAATGGGTTTTGGAAATTTTAATCACTGTTCTAATCCAGCCCAGGTCTGTATCGACCAAAAGTTGTTGCCATCTGACAGTGGTGGTCTATATAAAACTTTGTCTGTCTCTGTGTTGCTGTATTTGTCTACAACACTATACCACCACCATAGTTGTCATCAACTGGTGTCATTATATGGAGTCTCTGTAGACATACCAATGATTGAATGGCTTGAAGCCAGAGCTGTCCTTGTGTTCTTACAAGAGATCATTCCCAAGCAAGCTTTGAGATGCATTGGGCCCATATGGGGGAAGCCTTCACTGTTGCTACCCATTCTGTACCTGGTCTATAGCTAAATAGCAGACTTTAGGATATAGGACTTACTAGCTGAATACTTCACAAACAATAAATTCCTCTTAATAATTGATTTAAAGAATTAGGTCCATTAATCTTACTGAATGTATTTATACAGCATAATATATTAAGTGGCGCTCTAGTTTTTTAACATATACTTAATTTGAGTCACTATTAAAAAAAGATTTTTCTGTAGCAATTAAAACCATTCTCTCAAGATTTATTGTGACATTTGTTTTATTGGGATGCTTCAGTCACTTAGCCAAGCACCAGACTATTTTCATCCTGTTAGTGCTAAAAAAAATCAGTACTGTAGTTGGAAATGACACTGATGCACATCCTCTGCCTTGGTTTTTAGGTGCTGACATTGCTAATGTTTGTAATGAAGCTGCTTTGATCGCTGCAAGACACCTTTCGCATGCCATAAACCAAAAGCACTTTGAGCAAGCGATTGAACGAGTAATAGGAGGTGAGAGAATAGAATGGATCATTGGTCAACAAGGGAAAAGAGTGGCAGAAGGTTTCTATTTAAATGCTGTAGGTCAGATCTATTTCAGATATTTTGAAAAATAAGTCTTTAGTTCTGCACTAATGGTTAATGTTGTATCTTAAGATTTTAAAAGAATTGGCATCACATATTAAAATGTTCCTCTGCCTCACTGATTCTCCATTCCATTACAAATCTCATCAGGAAACTTCCTTTCTCATTTGCTTAAGCTGAGGGGAAGAACAGTTAACTCTTTATCACTTAAAAGCATTTTGAGATACCATACAAAATAAAGTAGTATTGTTTGATTTAAAGAGGAAGTTTTTAGTATAGTGCATCAGAATATACTGAAGATCTATTATGTCCAAATTAGAAAGTCTTTTTGATAAAAGTACAACCTGCAAACTACTAATTTATTTATCTTCAAGATAATATGGAATTTAAAGTCTTGCATCTCCTTTTCTTGTCTCTTGACTTAACAATATATTCCATACATGGTACCTAAATACCACTGTGACAGGCATGTTATCAATACATAGAGATGCCAATAGGAAATGGAATGTTAAGTGTTTTTGTGGAAGAGGGTGTGTCTGAAACTTTTGGTAAGTTATTGTGTTCTTTGTAAAGGTTTGGAAAAGAAAACGCAGGTACTGCAACCCGAGGAGAAAAAGACAGTAGCATATCATGAGGCAGGCCATGCAGTAGCAGGATGGTTTCTGGAACATGCTGACCCACTCTTAAAGGTAAAATAGGGGAAAAAATTAAAAATTCCCTTTTTTAGAAAAAGGAACACTAAATTAGAAGTATAAGGTTACTAATTCACTTTTTCTTATTCCTTGTTTTGGGAAGAAAATACAAAAATGTGGTACATTTGTTACTGTCCTATCAGGTATTAAAACATAGTTTCATGAAAGACCATGTGAGTTCTAAGATGCTACTTTCTTGGTTCTCCTTTGCAGCTAGCTTTTTCTTAACTATTTCTGATCAGTTTTTATGGGGGTCTGCTATTAAGGGCCTTCTTGGAAGGTGAAAGAGACTCCTATCTGGCTCAAAATAAACATGTTCTGTTGAATAGCTTGATGCCATATTACCATGTTACAGTATTAGGAATTGTCTTGTCCACTGTAATTTCCCAATGTCCGTTATGAATCCAGCTACCATCCTCCTGGTTTGTTTAAAAAGAATACAAAAAGGAACTAGATAGTTTGTGAGATTTAGAGCCTGCCTTGGTTAGATCAGATTCAAATCTGGGTTGATTCAATAGTGACAAGAAGTTGCAACCATATGACAACTATTCAGCAGCTTATGAGAAATGAACTGATGAGTCTCAGTGCAGTCCTTCAAGGACACAAACCACCACAACAGTTCACACTAATTGGGAGCTTTGTTGGCAGTATTAGCAGAGAGGCCAAAGACAGAGTGGAATTCAGATTTAATTTCTAATCCAGTGCCTAGAGAGGTTTCCTTTAGATTTGAGGAACACTGAGGAGGGGTGGAGAAGACTGTCAGTTCTCAACTGAGGGGGGGGGGGGTCGTGACCAGGTATAATGGCGTTGCAACCACACTGTACTCATATTACTAAATGAGAGGGGGATGTCCGAGCTATGCTTTGACAACCTGAGTGAATGAAGAACAGGAGGACTTGTGGCACCTTAGAGACTAACAAATTTATTAGAGCATAAGCTTTCGTGGACTACAGCCCACTTCTTCGGATGCATATAGAATGGAAAATATATTGAGGAGATATATATACACGTATATATATCTCCTCAATATATTTTCCATTCTATATGCATCCGAAGAAGTGGGCTGTAGTCCACGAAAGCTTATGCTCTAATAAATTTGTTAGTCTCTAAGGTGCCACAAGTCCTCCTGTTCTTCTTTTTGCGGATACAGACTAACACGGCTGCTACTCTGAAACCTGAGTGAATGAGTTTCAGTATGTAAGAGGTTGAGAACCACTGAGCTAGATAAATCATGAGTTCAGAATACAATTTAAGGATTGCTAAAGCATTTCTACATTATGATTGGTAATGATCCCTTCTCAGATTTGTTCATCCTTGCTGAAAAATATATCCTAAATCTTCATTACTTCTAGCATTCTCAGTAATGACATCATCATGCCCACCCATTCCCTCCATTCTGTTGATCATTCTTTCACCTCTTCCAACCTTCTTGTTAATTTAATCCAAAACCTTCCAGCTTTTTGTGTACAGACTGGATTGCATCTCAGGTATCAGTTTGTTTAGATTTTATGAAAGGTGCTAGATTAACAGCACTGGAAATTTAAATCTTTTTCTCATAAAAAGTATTGCACAATTAAAAATAGGCCAATCTAGATAAGTCTTATGTTTTAAGATGGCTGCTACTAGAGCTCTGCTTTGAATATACTACTGATGCCACAGTCCAGGGGTAGCTGAAGCTGCTGCACATGTGGGAAAAACGTTTTAATGTATACAGACTAAGGTCTTAGTTTGCAGGAGAAAAGGATTTGAAAAAGTGACCTGTGGTAGGCAGTAATGCCCTTGGCATTGACCTTTTAAAACCGTATATGTCACTGTCATGAGATGATCTAGAGAGGGTAAAGATCTTGGAGCTGAGGTCAGGAGACGTTGCTTTGAGACCCTAAAAATGAAAATCTCACTTCTGCAGTGCCTATCTGTTTTGATATTTTTACTGTTTGTTACTATGCCATTTCATCAGTATAATCTACCCAACATATTTTTCTTTTTTTGGATCATAATTCAGGAGTTAAATATTTAAGCTTATATTTATTTTTAAAAGGTAAAATAGAGATGTTTCACAGTTTGGGAATAAAGAACTATATCTATATCAGATCTCTAAATTTCTTTTAGGATTTCTAATGTCTCCAGTCCATAGTTTGGTTTACATAAAGTGATAGTGTATGTTAAATTCAACTGAATAGGTATCCTCTTGGGACATCCAGCTTTAAAAACATTGATCTAGGGTTTGTTCTGATTATCTGAGTTTAAACAGATGCACAAAGCTTGACAAGCAGATGATTGATTGAGTACAGTCTCCTGATTCCAGTTTTAACTATCTGGGTATCAAGTAGTTGTGCTACTAGTCATTTTCTGTTTTTAAAATTATCCACTTGTCTCCAACTGCAGGCATCCCAAATTCCTACAACTTAGACTAGGGGTCGGCAACGTTCGGCACGCGGCTCGCCAGGGTAAGCACCCTGGCGGGCCGGGCCAGTTTTATTTACCTGCTGACACAGCAGATTCGGCCGATCGCGGCCCCCCCGGCCGCGGTTCGCCGTCCCGGGCCAATGGGGGCA